TTGGAGATAGTATGATATCTGAGGAAAGAATATTGATTCCCTAAAGATATCAAAGCTGAGGTCATGAAGCAAGCAAATGACAGTTGTATAAGTGGGTTTGTATAATGTTTTATAAAGAGTAATTATTTTTAAACCTTCTATCATCCATCTGAGATAAGAGCATTAACCCCATTTGAGAAATGAGGACACTAAATAAAGATCAGAGAGTTTAAATTGTTTATGGAAAAATCACACAGCAAAATAAGCAACAATACCGGTAGGGCTCTAGCCGGTTTAGCTCAGTGGATAGAGCGTCGATCTGCAGACTGAAGGGTCCTCGGTTCGATTTTGGTCAAGGGCACGTACCTCAGTTGCTGGCTATTACCCAGCCCAGGCCCTGTTCTGGGCACATGCAGGAGTCAACCAATTGATGTGTTTCTCTTGCAACGATGTTTCCCTCTGTCTTTCTCTTTTCCACTCTCTCTAAAAATCAATGGAAAAATCCTCGGTTGAGGATTTAAAAAAACAAAACAAAACAAAAAAAAACAGAAGGAACTAGTGTTCACTCTAACCTTCGCTATATAATACTTCTTAAATGATAGCACTCATTCAACAAATATTGTTGAGACCTAGACTGTGGAGTCAAATAAAAAGTCTAGAAACAAACCTATACATATGCAGTCAACTGATTTATGATATAGGTAACATTGAAGTACAGTGGAGGGAAGGTGAGCTTTTTAATAAATTGCAATTGTGTGGCTGTATGGAAAAAAAATGTGAATCTCTACCTTGTACCAGATACAAATAATTGATTCAATATGGATAAGAGAACTAAATATAAAAGGCAAAATATTGAAGCTCTTTGAAGAAAATATTATCTTCATGACTTTATCTTAAACAAGTCAAACATTTCTTAAATAGGCAAAGATTTCTAAAACAGGACAAAATAAAGATCAAACCATAGAGGGGAAATTGACAATTGAGTCCATCAAGAGAAGAAAGTAAAAAGGTAAGCCACTAGTGGAAGAAGATATTTGCAACGCATATATGCAGTAAAGGACTTCATCCAGAATACATTAAAAACTCCTACAAATCCATACAAATAAAGTCAGCAACCCAATAGAAAAATAGGCAAAAGTCTTGAACAGGCCCTTTACCTAAAGAGCTGTTCAGATGACCAAAAGACATATGAAAAGGTATTCATCAGGAAAATGCATAATAAAACCATGAGACACTGCGCACAAGAATAACAAATTAAATAGGCTAACAATACCAAGTGTTAGCATAACTGTAGAAAACTAGTGAGAGTATAAATTGGTTTAAACACTTTGAAATGCTGTTTGGGAGTCAGTACCTTCTAAAGCAGTGGTTCTCAACCTTCTGGCCCTTTAAATACAGTTCCTCATGTTGTGACCCAACCATAAAATTATTTTTGTTGCTACTTCATAACTGTAATGTTGCTACTGTTATGAAGCATAATGTAAATATCTGATATACAGGATGGTCTTAGGCGACCCCTGTGAAAGGGTCGTTCGAGCCAAAGGGGTCAAGAGCCACAGGTTGAGAACCGCTGCTCTAACGCTTCACATATGTATATGCCCTGTGACCCAGCATACCAAATGACATGTAAAGAAGTATGTTCATAGCCGCACTCTTCAATATAACCCCAGCCTGGAAATAATCCAAATGTTCATCAAGAGTAGCATGGATAAGTAAATTGTAATGTATTCATTGTATGCAGCAGTGTTTTCTTAACCTAACTGTAGCAAAGGACTAGATTTCCCCCCTAGCTTTCAGAATGAAACTCTTGTATAATATATTACACACAATGTCAAACTGCTCAGAAATTTATAAATGCTCACATGCACCTTCTGTACGTACTCATGGCCTTTCAGATCAGTGGCAAATGGTGTAGACAAGCAGTGGTTCCCAAACTGCACTGCAAGTAGCACTGCTCTCAAGCAATGAACTGAACAACAACTACCTACAACACAACAGCATGGATGGATTTCACAACCAGATACAAAGGAGTCTATATTTTATGATTCCATTCATATAAGGTTTAGTGACAACAAAACTAAACCTGTGATGTGAGACATTAGGATTACCCTTGAGTAGTGGAGGAATATCATTGGAAGGAGCCAAGAGGGAATTCTGGTTTTCTTAATCTTAGCATTGCATCATTTTTGTGTTAATTATATGAATGTGCTCATTTTGTGAAACTGATGTAGATGTACATTTATAATTTGGGCACATTTTTTTTTTACCATTTATATTAAAAATAATTGAGCCCTGGCCAAATAGCTCAGTTGGTTAGAACGTCAACCCAATACACCAAGGTTGTGGGTTTGATCCCTGGTCAGGGCACATACAAGAATGCATAGATGAATGCATAAATAAGTGGAACAACAAATTGATGTTTCTCTCTCTCCCTTCCTCTATCTCAAAATCACTAAAATTTTAAAAATTGATTGAACACCTATTATATGCATGCCCTCTAAAGTTGTGAAGGTAATAGGTTAGTGGAGAAGACCATGTATATGCAAGTATATAATCATGTGGAATTACAAATGATGATTTCATGAAAAAAATTCTAACAAGATGTAGTGATAGAAAATAATGAAGGGAAGAATCTACTTTAGATAAGGTGGTCAAAGAAGGGTCTTCTCTAAGAAGATTTCAGTTGAGACCTAGAGTCTCAAAAGGAATCCGATGCCAAGAGTGGAGGCAACAATCAGGGACATCAGTAGTTGTTTTGAGTAGAGAAATAGGATTTAGTGGATTTATTATAAAAGAGGGCATGGCAGATACACGTTACAACTTGGAAATTGGTGTTATGAAAATTGGGGTAGGAGGAAATGGGATAGAAGGAAGTAGGATCTGGGGTTTACAGTTGCAAATAATGGAAAAACCAAAAAGGATAGTTTTGCAAAAGGCCTGTGATACCTAGAATAAAGGAAAATTAGTTAAAAGGAAGTGAATTCCCAGTTAATTTTCAAAACCAAGGAAAATGTGATTAAATTAACTAATAGATGAGTTTTGCATGCATTTCATTGTGGTTGGTGTAACTTGGGGTAAATGTATATTTACATATTAGAGAATTTCGATGCAAGCATTTAAAGATGGATGGCAAAAGGGACAGCATTCTTTCCAACCCTGTCAGCCTTCATGTCTCTGGCACTCTACTGGTCCCTTTTCTCCTTTATTCTTCCTGGTTCCACCACCACACAGTTACTTCAGTATCACTCATTTCAACTCTATCAATCTCACTTTTTGCTTTCCTTTCTCTCTCATTCTTGCTCCTCACCTTCAACTGTTTCATTGAAAGTATTGAGCACCTTCAGTTGGTTGAGCATTATCCCATACACCAAGAGGTCACCGTTTCGATTCCCATTTAGGGCACATGCCCGGGTTGCAGGCTGGATTCCCAGTAGGAGCATGCAGGAGGTAGCTGATCACTGTTTCTCTTTCATTGATGTTTGTCTCCCTCTCCCTTCCTCTCTCTCTAAAATCAATAAAAGCGTAAAAATAAAAAAAGGAAAGTACTGAGCACTTTCATGTATTTCATCTTCTTTAATTCTTTCATAACCCTAACAACCTCATGTTTTCGGAGATGCATGTGGGGAAGCTTTGACTCAAAGAAGCTATATGATTTGTCTTAAGGTCACAACCTAAACACCTGGCAACAAGTGCAGTGCTTTTTCTATTATGCCACTGCATCTACCCACAATGGTGTTATGTTTAAAATATTGTTACCTGCTTTATGAGTAATGAAAGTGTGCCCTACTGCTTGTTAGATTTCATAAGAGATATTCTTCCTAAAGGGCTGAGTTATATATCTGAATATAGGGTATATGTGTATAATATGTGAGCATATTCCACTTCATATAGATTTTTAATCATATATACACACACACACACACACACACATATATATATATAATTATACATATATATACTGAATTTTTTTTATTTCAGTAGTTTTGAAGTAGACTTTCTGAAGTATAGTATATCTGGAATCGCTACCATAATTCTCACTAATTTATGTCTTAATTACTAAAATTCTGGAAGAAGATAGATATGATCTTGATGTAGATAATTAAAGAAATTGTAATGACTCAAGATCTCACTAAAAATAAGGTAGTAAACCAAGTGATTATTCTGAGCCTAGCTTATTTCCTACTGTCTTTAACACCACTGAATAAACATTGGAAAAATAGATTAAACTTAGGTCACCTGTTTTTCATCACTTGCTGGTGACTCTGGGGAAACTTAGCAGCAAGATTTGGAGGAACTAGGAGATTAAGAAGATTTATTAAAATAAAGTTGGTAGATTATAGATTTTAATCCATTACTTTTGAAAGTTAAGAGATATTTTTATTAAGGATGTACAACCCGTTCCTAAAATATCTGATAGCATTACATCTGTATGAACTTTTTCAATGACTTGTAACTGGAACAATATACTCTCAAACAAAAGAATCTAGACTTTTCTAGAAATGCAAAAGATCCATGGTTGAATTGGTCTTAAGGTGAAACAGTGAATGGGTAATGCATGGATGCTGATCCTGCCTCTCTTTGCCTGACATGTTCTAAGGCAGGAGTGGGGAACATCCGGCCCTTAGGCAGTATAATGCCTTCAAAATCATTTGGTCTGGCCCTGCCAAGGCATAGGGGTCAGTTAATGAAATATTTGATCAAAAATAGCAGGCTAATTTTTAATTTGATAATTTTGTATGGCACTTGAATAGCGTTATAAATATCCAAATAGCTGTTAGCAGAAAAAAGGTTCCCCACCCCTGCAAGGGAGCGGCAACAACAACTGGATTCAGCCATTTCTGGAGGTGGCTGTAGCTGTTGATGTGAGAATGACTATGCCCTCTTCGTGTATGGGATAAGAATGACTGTTTTGAAAGGCAGATAGGCCATAATACACTCCCAGGGATGTACTGATGTACCAGACTCCTTCATTAAGGCATTCAATCTCTAATTTTTCTCCCCCTCTTTTTTATGTGCCATAGAGTGATTCTCATCAGTTCCGTGTCATGGCAGCTGTCCTTCGCCATTGTTTACTAATTGTAGGTCCAACTGAAGACAAAACAGAAGAGCTGCACAGGTAGGTAATCTCCAGTTCTTATTGTTTTTATGCATCTAATTTTAGTTGTTATAAGCACAAGAAAGTAAAAATATCATAATAAATCAGGTAACTGGTAGGTTAGAAATCATTACTAGGCTCTAAGGAGCAATTTTCATTGTCCCCTTTGACTTATAAACTGAACTCCAACAATAGAAGAGAATTTGGCATTTGTTGCATTCAACAAGAAAACCCAGAACAACTATAAATAATAGCACACAGTTATTGAATAATGTGTGTGGCATTATGTTAAGTTCTTTATAAAGGTTAACTCCTTTTAATCATCATACCAGCCTTATGAGGTAGGTACTAATATTTTTTCTTCTCAATAGATGATGAAACAGGCATAGAAAGATAAGCAATTTCTCCAAGATCATATATATCCTTAATTAGAGGCCTGATGCATGAAATTCATGCAAGAGTAGGCCTTCCTTTCCCCGGCTGCCAACACTGGCTTCCCTCTGGCACCCAGGACCCAGGCTTCCCTTGCAGCCCAGCTTCGTCCAGAAGGATGTCCAGTCTAATTAGCATATTATGCTTTTATTATTATAGATAAGTGAAAGAGCTTGGATTTGAACCCTGCTTTTAATTACTACACTTTAATATGCTCACTAATTTCATTGTATTTACCAAAAAATATATCTTAAGCAATATAAATTATATTTTATAAACTGTAAGAATTGGATCTTGCCTGGCTGGTGTGGCTCAGTGGTTGAGGGTCTACCTATGAACCAGGAGGTTACAGTCCGATCCCCAGTCAGGGCACATGCATGCCCAGACCAGGGAATGCATAGATGGGTGGAACAGTGAGTCGATGCTTCTCTGTCTTGCTTGCTTAAATGAATATTTATATAAATATTAATATATTTATATATATATTGAGAGAGAGAGAGAATTGAATCTGTCTCAAGTAATCCTATCTAATAATAGACAAACATGGTAATTGACTGTACCTTCGCTACGCCTCCCATAGGCTAATCAGCACAATATGCAAATTAACCACCAAAGATGACGGCTAATTTTCATACTGCAGGCAGGGCTGGACAGCGCCATCCCACCTGCCCTGCCGCCATCCAGGCCTGCTATCTGTGACCCGGGGCGGTGAGCGTCCGTGTGCATCCCAACCCGGGGCAGCTGGGCGGTGCAGCAAAGGCTTGAAGGAGGCTCTGGCCGGAGCAGCAAAGGCTTGAAGGCGGCTCCAGCCAGAGTGAAGGCCTGGGTCCCAGGTGCCGTAGGAAAACCGGTGCCAGCAGCCAGGGGAAGGGAAGGCCTATTGCATGAATCTTTTCGTGCAACAGGCCTCTAGTAATATATAAAAAATAGTTAATATAAAGTTTTATGACTTGCCTGTTAGAGTATTAATGGAATACTATTGAAATTTATCATTCTCTGAGAACAACTGAATAATATTAATGCATTTTTCTAGTACTCTTTCTGTTCAAGATCAGATTTGCAGTAACAAGACTTCTGACTTTAACATGAAACTGCTCATGGTGCTTAATAAGAATGCAGTTGGCCTTGTAAACAATTTAAATAAATTTAAACCTGCAAAAAAGGAACTTTGGCATTACCTCTGCTTGACAAATAAATTTGAAAGTTGAGTTCTTAATAGTAGAAATTGCCTTTAAATGCTTATAATATTCTGTTTTCCAAAATATGGCTTAAATAAAATGAAACATATTCTTGTTATTTTTTCAAGCAAATCCACTTTTTTTGTTACAATTGGCAATTTACCATTTGATATTGTAATGAGTTTTTTGGTAGGTTATCTTTATGTACTGTATCCTGCAAGTATGCAAAAGATAGTGTCTTTGTTACAATTGAAAAGTGTAATTTTTTATCCAGCTACAGATCAAAAGTTCCTTCAATTTTCTTGAGACTGTGCCTTTAAAAAATAATCAGATAACTGCAATAAATCATATTCTCTAAAAAGATTTTATTGAGCATTTTTCTTAACGTAATTTTTTTTATAACCAAGAGGCATTAGAAATGTAGATACTAAAACTAAAAGAAAATGGGGTTTATAAGCCCAGGAGTAAATTGATTTTCTTTTTAAATCAGATATGAGTTAAAGAACATTCATAGAAAGATGTGAGAACATTAAATACGAAGTGTATTAAAAGTCATTGTTACACTAATCACAAAAACATTGCTAAGGATTTCTCTGAAGAATGAATTTAATATTTGAACATAGTACCTGGTATCCATCAAAATAGAGCATAACTATAGAGTTTTTTTTTAAATCAGATTTTTTAAAAAGTAATCGGATTTTTTTATTTTCCTTCCTGAGAGTTGCTTTAAATATTATTTTTCTTAAATTAATTTAAAATATATTTTTCTTCAAATTTACTTTTATCTTAAAAGTTGCTTTGATAAACTATCTATAAACTACACAGTAAATAAAAAGGGCTTTCCCTAGAGCAGGGGAGGGGGAACTTTTTTTTTCTGCCAAGGGCCATTTGGATATTTATAACATCATTCAAGGGCCATACAACATTATCAACTTAAAAATTAGCCTGCTATATTTGGTCAAACATTTAACTGACCCCTAATGCCTTGGCAGGGCCAGACCAGATGATTTTGAGGGCCTTAAACTGCCTAAGAGCCTGTTGTTCCCCACCCCTACCCTAGAGCCAGTATAGAATTTACCAGTATAAATTTATCCTCAGAGGCTTTCCTCGAAGATTGAGGTTGCTGCTGACTTGGCAGTTTGTCTGGAGTGGCCCTGCATATCCCTTAATCAGAATTTAAAGTGATTATTCTAGCAGTAATGAATCTAGGCTAATTCACTTAATACAGGAAAACTGCATCAACTTCAAAGGGCTATTCTAGGAGGCTTACTAGAGTTGTAATGTCTACTAAATTCTGCTCATTTGTAGTGATCCTGAAAACATTTTGTGTGTGTGTGTATAAGACATAAGTTTAAGGGGGAAAAAATACTGTTTCAAAGTAACATCTCACTCCATTTTTAAAGTTATTTTCTAAGGGTGTGTTGTTTTTTTGACACTGATTTGTTTTAAGGTAAAATGTAATGAAATAGTTAAACCTGGATGGCATAGTGTATGGTTATATATTATCAAACTCAAAGGGTTACAATAATGATTAAATGAGAAATAAATAAAGAACTCTGTCCCTGGCACTGAGTAAGCTCTTAGTAACTGGGGGAGCTGTTGCACCCATCACCATGATAGTGCTACTTCTAGTACTATTATAATAAGCACATTGGCTTTTAAAGACAATATTTAGTTCCAGATCTCTTTTTAAAAATTGTTTCTTGATTTTGATATTTTGTTTTTGAACTTATTTCTGTGTTTATCCTGTAATTGTGTAGAGAAATGTTTTCTGTTACTCTAAGTTTTTCTCAAGCCATGTATGTTTTATGAAACATGCATATCAGGAGTCTATTAAGGTGCTGTAGGAGATGATGAGTTAGAAGATGGCTTCGCAGCAACTTTTTCTGATATGTTATCTCTGTAAGACAGTGCTTTCTCCCCTCTCCCCCCAGAGAAATCAAGGGGGCATGAACATAGAGATAAAATGAGTTAGCTTACAGTAACAGCTGACTTGACCTTTATTTCCACTAATCAGCATCTTAGTTATTAAAATCTGTATTATATTTCGTTTCTTACTTACAGTAACAAGCAAATTGTTGGTATGATCCACCTTCTTTGCTACATTAAAGGACAGCCTAGTTCTGTTATCTCTGCCTGAAAGTATTTTTAGACCTCTTGTCCATAATCAATAAACTTATGCATTAACACTTAGCCAAAAGAAGTGTTATGTGGATGTGGTTGTGGTTGTGGTTTTATTTTAGAGAGAAGGGGTAAGATAAGATGGCCCATCCACTGGAGAAGAGAAAAAAAGAAGGGAAAAGGGCAAGATCTGATTTAATATCATTTAGCCTCTCAATCTAATTTCTTTCACTCAGCACATTGGCATCTACAATGCTTTTTCTGTTGTTTCTTTTAGACCAATTCATTTTATTTCATATACTAGAGGCCCAGTGCACGGCTTCGTGCACTGGGCAGGTTCTCTCAGCCTGGCCTGCAGGGATCGGGCCAAAGCTGGCTCTCCGACATCCACTGAGGGGCCCCGGATTGTGAGAGGGCACAGGCCAGGCCAGGGAGGGACTACGGAGGGCTTTAGGGCATGTCCGGCTCGTCTCGCTCAGTCCTGATCGGCTGGACCCTAGCAGCAAGCTAACCTACCAGTCAGAGTGTCTGCCCCTGGTGGTCAGCGTGCTTTATAGTGACTGGTTGAACGGTTGAAAGAACTGTCATTAGGCTTTTATTATATAGGATTGAAGGGGACAATTTAATACCTAGTGACACCTCATTACAATGCTAAGCATAATGTCTTTTTCCCCCCAGCTTTATCTATATATATGAAAGCCTAAGCAACCGTTTGACCCATAGCTATGATGCGCACTAACCACCAGTGGGCAGTTGCTCAACACACAGGCATGGAAACATGGAACAGACTGATGAATCTCAGAGGGAAAGGGAGAGGAGGGAGGGCAAGAACAGATTAACCAAAGATCTTATATGCCTACGGGGGTGGGGCCGGCCAGCCAACCTCCCACGACCCCTCCCCTCAGCCAGCCCCACCCCTTATCGGCCTTGCCCCCCACCCCAATTGGGGATAGGGCCCGCTAGCTAATCGCCCACAGCCCCTGCCCCCAGCCAGTCCAGCCCTGATCAGACCCCGATTGGGGCAGGCCGGCTGACCAACCTCCTACCATCTCCTCCTCCTGACAGGCCCAGCCCCCACCCATGCACGAATTCGTGCATTGGGCCTCTAGTTAATATATAATTGGCCCTGGCCGATTTAGCTCAGTGGACAGAGTGTAGGCCTGCGGACTGAAGGGTCCTGGGTTCGATTCCAGTCAAGGGCACATGCCCAGGTTGCAGGCTTGATCCCTTGTAGGGGGCATGCAGGAGGCAGCCAATCAATAATTCTCTTTCATCATTGATGTTTCTATC